GAAAGAGTGACACATGGCTCTGCCAAGCTGTCCTGCAAAGTAATGTCAAATATGAGACCCGCAATCCTTGCATCTAAATGTAATGAGGAAGTCATCAATTCTGCATCTGGACAACCCACCCTGAAGCAATTGCCTTCCTGTTTCCATGAATACTTGAATCTGTCCTTTCTGATCACCCTGTTGGTGCAAGAAGGCTTGCATTCATGATAAAAAGAAAAGGATTTAGGCCACCATTAGAGGACTGAGGATTAGTACTCCTAGAGGTTAGTCAAGCTTGCCAACTATATTACCTTCTTTAAAAGTTCCCCTAGTGGAGCTTTTTTAATGAGCTGTAGAGACTGTCCATTGTACTGTTGATTTGAAATGTGTAAACCAAGCAAATGGCTGAGAAGGAAAAAAGAATCAGTGCTTTGGGAAGCAGCATAGTACTAGGGCAGAAGGTCAGCAATGTGTACATGAGCCAGAGTCCAGAGACTAGTGTCATTAGGCAAAAATAACACTGATGTCATCATGTGATTTAAGACTCCCCAATGAAACAAAAATCAAGGTGTTAGGGGGCTTTTCTTGACACATAAACAGTGTCACCTTTTAAAGAACTGGGTTATAGAGAAGAGCAACACTTGTTTAGATTTTCTTTCATGGAGCCTGTGAATTTGTCCATTATACCACTGTTGTGCGACAAAATAAATGTGCAAAGTCAGACATCTCCTCTAAGACTGGTATATCCTAACACACACAGAATGGCCCAGTTTCCACACGGGGCCCCTTAGAAACTTTTCTGCCCTATGAAAAGGTACCTTTTACATGGGAGGTAGCTATCACCAGGTGAATCTTAGTGCTGGCAAGCTGCTTTCTAGAGGAGCCAAACCCAGCTGGCAGGTATTGACCTGACCTCAGTAGCATCAAATAATTACCTTTTTCACCATTAGGAGCATGTCTTCATATGCTCTCTACTAGTAAAAAATCGCTATATATCTTTTCTGCAGCAAAGTCGAGTACAAAGTTCCTTCAGGAGTGTCAGGACTAGTTTATTGGCTGGCAGTACTTCATAAGTACGTTCCCAAACCAGCAGGAGTTTAGCTTCCAGTTTCACTGTTCTTTCTACTGAAGGAAAAGATGAGCTGCTTGCACCAGGAGTCAGCCTGCACATGGAGCCTGTCCCGGGAACATGCCTGGGCCTCGGCAGGAGCCATGCAGAAGACTGACACCATCTCACTAAGCCCCTCCCTCTCACTTTCCCTCCCTCTCTCTTTGCCTGTAGTTATTTTTAGATTTCACGGGTTAAAGCTTGTCCCTTCTGAACGCTTATACACACAGGGCAGGCACACACACATGCTGTAGATAACTACAACTCAGGCACAGGAGTTAGCCAACAGATTATCTTGTTCCACATCAAGGAATAAATTCTGTTTTCTTATGACAAAATACTGCCCTTTGAGAAGATGCACAACGTGCTCAACCACGCGGGATTTTGTTGCTTGCAGATTTGACTGGGAGACTTTCAACGGATAGAAAAAGCGGTCTACACAGCAACTTCCTCTTTTCTTGAATTTCCTTCTAGTTTGCAAGATCTTGCTTTCTTTCAGCATTTGCTTTCAGCCTGATTCCCATGCCGTCCGCCATAAATGCAGCGGTGGCTCAGCAGACAGCTGCTGGGTCAGTTCCCAGTGCTGCTATTAGCACTACAACTGAAGGTGCGGGTGGGGGCACAGGGGGAATTTATTCTGCCATTATAAGTCGCAACCAGCCCATTATCAGAGTAAAGGAGAAGACCTATGAAGAGCTTCACAAGAAGTGCCTGGAGAAAAACATTCTCTATGAAGATCCTGATTTCCCACCAAATGAGTCCTCCCTCTTCTATAGCCAGAAAATCCCCATCAAATTCGAATGGAAAAGACCACGTGTAAGTAACATGTTTGCTGTGTGCCTTTTCCTTTCTGTAAATTGTAGTATTCACCCTGAGCTTACATTTTTGCAGAAAGTGCGTGTCAGGGGAGGTGGGGGGAATAAGCTGGAAGTATATTTCCTTAGAGCTCTCCTGGAAGATAACTAGCTAGGGCTGTGGAAGCTCAGAGAGTGTGTATATAATGACTAAAATACAATAAACCAAAATGAAACAAAAAAAAGACATGGCATGAAATATGTAGAAAAATAAATACGGAATTTAATTCTTGCATGATTTGCTAGGGATTTTTTTGTCTGAAACTACTAAAGAAAAATTCTCCTCATTCTGCAACAAGTTATTGGGTTTGCTGAGGCTTAATTTTTAAACACTACCTTATGTCACTTACAACTTTAGTTTTCTGCTGGTTTCCTGATCTGTGAAAATAAAAGGGCAGGTTATGGTCTGAAACACGCTTTTATTCAGTTGTTTGTCCCAGCATTGCTTAGCCAACTTGCAAAGGTTATTTAGCGTATTATCCACTTACCATGAATGTGGGTGTTGTAATCACTATGAGGACTCACTGCCTAGTAATTCCATTTATTTTTTCTACCTTGTGGGCGTTTCCCACCCTGAGTCTCTCTCACAGGCAGAGGACTAATTCCTCAATTCCCAATTGATTCCCTGTCCTGCTGCAGGAGGTGTTATC